TGTATTGAATGTATGAATGGGTTTGTGAGGTTGACTGTAAGCGGCATTGGCTATATTGTTGTAGAACCAGTCACAATGCAGTGATATACGACCCCTCCGTGCACTATGCCAGTAGCCCAGTAACTAGAACTTCCGTACACACGGGTCAAGGTGATCACTGGCTTGACATTGTCCAGAACGGGGTCATCTGTAGAAAGATTATGTCCTAGGCATATACTTCAATTTAGCCACTCGCCATCGCCCCAGACAAATTTTCCTAGTTAACTGCTATTACACCCCCAGTAACATGTTCCAGGGATCTCATTCCTTTCAGTTAGGTCTTACATCCTTGCAGCTGATATCAGTAGTCATGGGACACATGGAAAGGGTGTCAATGACCCTCTGACCTGAGATCTTAGGCCCCTGCAACTGATGCCAGCGGTTGAACCCTCTGAAATGAGGTCTTACAAACTAGCAACTGATGTCAGTGGTCCTGAAACATGGAACGGGGCTCAAAGGTCCGACCCTCTGAAATGAGGTCTTAAAACCAAGCAATTCTTCAAGGCCCTCACTAGTGTGGTGTTACACACATTCTTGTAGTTTTCAGTAAGTGGTAAGACCTTCCAGCTCATGGCCTCACAACTCCATTCACATTGACGAATGTTGATGTATCTCACCATATCGATGCCCATGCCAGGCTGGGTTGCAGGTGAATGGTCATAATCCCATGGCAACGGACGCTACCCTGCCAACGGGGTATGTGCAATGTAATGACTGTGTATTACGACCCTTGAAGTAGTCTGCCATAGACTTAGCTACAGCATGGCCACCAATCTGTATTTCATGCATAAGGCTGATTTGTTAAAGACTCTGCCAAATCAAGTCCAGTCGTTGGAAACCCTCCATGATTGGTCGCGAATCCACATCTCGTTATATGTCCTTGTCAGGTATTTAAAACTGACTATGAGGTACCAAGGTGGTCGCACTGACGTCGCCTCTACCAGTACAATATGGTAATCCCATTCACCGTGTGCTGCCGTGATTCCTAATACCACTCCGAACACAATGAGTAAACGTAGCGAGCATGAATACCGTTATGTTGGATTACAGCGATCTCAAGTGCTGGGTATTAAACAGTCATATTAATCCAAGGTGCGTTAAGGGTATGAAAGGGAGATTACTCTCCCTCGTTGCCTCCTGAAGCATGCAAACAAAAGAGACAAACCATTTCTATAATCAGCAGCAGCCACTAAAAAGTCCGTGTGATTGAGACTGTGTCATAGAAGAAGGTTATGAATCAGTACCACGATTGCAATGATGCAACGTGTTCTCTACAATGTGAGCGTATCCGGCCCTACAGGTTTCACGCATAACAAACACGTGCAAGGCCAAGTCAAGTGTCCCCCTACAGAACATCACCTTAACATACAGCACAAGTTAAATAGGGAATTGCATCTGACATAAATGTGGAAGACTTGTATTACCGTGAATTATATTTGATCATGAAACACATCAGGGGATCCTAGCGTCTCTTCTATTTCTAGCTCAGGGGTGTTAATCAGTGGAGGGTAAAATGCTATTAGATAATCATTGAACCATGACTGATCTTCGATATACCTAAACCTCTATAACTTCAAACTAAGGTTCTAAATCTCTCTAAAGTTCAAATCAATGTCTAATGATTGTGCCAATCCGAGCAGAATTGACTGATAATGTGCACAAAGGAGCTGATCAGCTACATGAACGCACAATACACATTTAGAGTTTTGCTTGAAGAAGCCCATGATACTAAAAACAATTTTGAGAAGAGAAACCATTTATCATTTAAAAACAACAAAGTTCTATTTACACACAAGCAAACTTCTCAGTAACGAACCTGTTTCAGGCTCACCCTGCTCTACTCACTAGACAGTGGACTGTTCTATTATACCCGTAGGTGTTACCCTAATTAACCTTCTAGTTCAGTGTCTGTCAGTTGGGTGTCTGTCAAATGGGAGATAACCATAATCTCACTTACTGCACTTTTCGGGAAACTCAGAAAGCAATAAAAACACTAAAACTTTCATTTTTGCCAACTTCATGTGACGTCATCCCGCAAGTGACACATGTTCTATCGGTCACTGAATCAATGCTTGCTTTAGCTTGTACTCTCTAACTTGGTCACATAGTACCCGTCCACCACAACCCAGGGTGCTACCAGGGGCCATGCGTCACCGGGGATTCCAGAAACAGGATGGTTACATTGAACAGAATGCTGCTTGATATAGCGAACCTGCGTTTGAAGAATTTGTTCAAATTTGTGAAACCATGGGATACACAAACATTCGGCAGCTGAATCCCCACGACTTCATGAGGTGGTTTAGAAGATGGAAGTTTAGCGAGTGAGTTTAGTTTTACGCCGCACTCACCAATATTCCAGCTATATGGCGGCGGTCTGTAAATAATCGAGTCTGGACCAAACAATCCAGTGATCAACAGCATGAGCATCGATCTGCGCAATTGGGAACCGATGACATGTGTCAACCAAGTCAGCGAGCCTGACCACCCGATCCCGTTAGTCGCCTCTTACGACAAGCATGGGTTACTGAAGATTCATTCTAACCCGGACCTTCACGGGTAGATGGAAGTTTAACGTTGACGGGCTACCCCTCCCCTGCTGCCGATCTGCGTGAGGTTAGCTAAAGCAGGTTTACTTGGTTCTGAGTGGACAAAACGGATTATCCGCCTGCCCTCCCGTCTCCCCCGAACGAAAGTGTCATGAATAAATATAAGTGGATAACATTATTTCTATTCTACATTGTATTATTCAAGGGCAGTTCCAGAATGGTATAAATAATCCCCTGTAAATGGAAACAAAGCATATAAGTGTAAAATCGATCGAAACCCCAAATTTCGTAATCGTCTTATGCTGAAATCTCGTCAGATCAGAACAAAATGTTCTACTTTATCAGCAGATCAAGAGAACGCCAGATTGTGTTAAGTGTGCATGGCCGATTTGCTCTGAATAAAACACAACTTGTACCGATTCAGGCAGAGATTAATTTGGATTGTGTTTGTGGTACAGCACATGCCCAATGCTTGTCAAGTGAAATATTTTCAGCATTTCGTCACGTTTTATGTATCCTGGGTTATAGAGCTAGTAGATTGAACCATTAGATCTGTCACACCTGACACGTACCCGCGGGACTGATAAACGAAAGTTGAACACATTGAATACAAATCGATTTTGTATACAATCAATCAGCAATCACCGTGTCTTAGCGTACAGGAACACAGCCGCTCTTGATTTTTTATGGTGATACGATTCAACATACGTACTTAGCAGGCGGAACTAGAGGTGCAGAGGTGCACCCCTCCTCCCCTCTTTTTGTCCTACACGTTTATTAAATGACCACTGAAACTCTCGTGAAAAAAGGTGAACTGTGCATCCTCCACCCATTTCTCATGTCCCATCTGTCACATACATACAGAAGTTGTCACATATATGTGTGGCCGCTGTCACACACATACAGAAGAGATCACATATATCTGTGCTCGCTGTCACATACATACAGAAGAGGTCACATATATGTGTGATCGCTGCCACATACATACAGAAGAGGTCACATATATCTGTGCTCGCTGTCACATACATACAGAAGAGGTCACATATATCTGTGCTCGCTGTTACAGAAGAGGTTACATGCAGAAGAGGTCACATATATGTGTGCTCGCTGCCACATACGTACAGAAGAGGTCACATATATCTGTGCTCGCTGGTACATACATACAGAAGAGGTCACATATATGTGTGATCGCTGCCACATACGTACAGAAGAGGTCACATATATCTGTGCTCGCTGTTACATACATACAGAAGAGGTCACATATATCTGTGCTCGCTGCCACATATGGAAAGTATAGATTACACATATGTCAGTTCGTTGTCACATATAGACACTATCAAAGCACATATGTGATCTGTGCACCATGTGACATACAGAGTGATCCATGTGTGATCCATCCTGTATGTGTACATCTATATATGTGTGTGCCCGCTGTCACTAATCAGCAGGAATCAAATAATGACGAGTGACGCTTCAGGAAGTCACACCGCCTGGGTCAGTCCTGTATCTAGGCAGCATCCCACCAACTAGGGATGTGGCTGCAGTAGACATACATGTACTTGGTGGATTGTGTAAAAATAATACTTGTGTATTCTTGAATATCTATTTAGCACTTGAGAATACAATCACGGTCACACTTCAAATAACTGTTCGACTCTGTTACAGTTTGGAGAGCAGACATCAGTTTACAGGTGTAGAATGAGTTGTCATCATCATTTTCATGAACATCATCATCATCGTCATCATTATCATCTTATTCATTATCGAATAACCCTTAACCTTACGTCCCACCATGAACCACGTCACTGTATACATCACCACAAACCCGACATTGATGAACAAAGCTCTTTGTACATAATGATCGCTGAATCCGGAAAAAACAAAGCATAGTCACCATATTCTGATATATACCTGATGCCAACATCACATATCCATGAAATATACATGTGGTATACATGAAATATACCACAGGGAACGGAAACATATACTGTTGGCTTAGTACCGCATAAAGCGATACAATGACAAGGGTAGTGATATGTATATCCTGCTGCAACGTTCTGAGTTAAAGGTCCTGTGAAATATGCACTACACACTAACATATACATGACACACACTGGAATATACATGTGGTATGCATGAAATATACCACAGGGAACGGAAATGTTACCAGCAACATATACCGTCCCTACTGTGGCTTAGTACCGCATAAAGCGATACAATGACAATGGTAGTGATATATATATCCTGCTGCAACGTTCTGAGTTAAAGGTCCTGTGAAATATGCACGACACACACTGAAATATACATGACACACACTGAAATATACATGACACACACATAAATATACATGAAACACACTGAAATATACATGGCACCCACTGAAATATACACGTAATATACATCATCAGTACTTACTCTGCCGGCCGATGTTTTAGCCATGGTGTTGGTGTACACAGATTATTCCATAAATATCACAGCTGATTACAGGTGCCACAATAACATTTGTCAACTGCCAGGTACGTCGTTGGATGTTTGCCGCCAGGTAAATCTCCAACTGACTACGAATACCGAGAGGTAGTCCGACTTCAGTGCGACTCGCCAGCTCGGTCCCAGCACCCTTATTACTGCTAGCCTCGATCTACACAGATTATCTCCGGCTCAGAATAATCCGCTTGACTGGTCTCGTTCTCTACATGTTGGCCTCGTGTATTTGTTTTGCACTCTCATTTATGCAAGAGCGCATCCGAATAGCATGCGATGAAATATGTCTCGTTGTTTACCTGTATGGTCTGAGTATCCCACAGCGATTTGTCACGTCCTGTGTGTTATTAAGTTATTAGGTTATTAATAACATACCTATCGTACATGTCGTGCCATAAACATGACAAGGCGTAGGTAGGCACTGAGAGTAAGATCTGACTAGAAATTTCTGCTTAACAGAATGTACCAGTCTCTATGACAAATAGACATGTTTCTGTGAAGGACGACACTTGTAATCCAAGCCCCGTATTTTACAGTCTTGCAATGAACGGGTGGGCTACGACAAAAGGGTATAGGAAACTGCGTGTCGGCAGTGGGCAATGGTTAACGCTTGGTAAGACTGTAGCGCATGTCGTCCCAGCTACCCCGCTATTACGCTACTGTTGGGACGATATAGAGAGGTCATAAATAATAGACTCAACTGAACCGTGACGTTACTGTACGGGCGAGTTCACTCAGAGGGACGAATAAGGAGGAAGGCGGTTAGTGGTATATTCTTATTTCAGACAACAGGATAATTTTGTCCCCGGTTGCAGTGAGACTGATCTTCTTCCTACACTTCAAATTTATTCTCGCTTCAACCGCCAGTCCCGACAGTTTAACACAACTGTGTCAGTTATCGGCTGTGGTCTGTTCGGTTTTGAGTGTCGATCGACTAGTGGGGCTCAATACGGGTGGGCGGTAACCGGGTGGTTCAATTTCTTATAGCTGGGACAAATCCGGATGTTCAATGCCAATGTTTCCTTGCATTGTCTGGTGACCATATGTATTGATTTGAATATTAAAAGGTTTAATTACGAAATATATCAAATATCTCGAAGTGCAGATAGATTTCACAAGCACATTCCTAGCACCATAATTGTGAGATGGACGTGTCATATTGTTCCCATTACAACAAACCCATACCATGCATCGTGTGTTCAGCTACTGAAATATACTTGATGATGTAGCTGCTTCGTCCACGTCTCAGCAGCCGTCATGACAGGCTCCTTCCTGTCTGTCATGATCACGATCAACATGCAGGCAGGTAAGTGGTTAAACATGTCTCGCATTGTTTTCTCTGGGAATGTTGCAGCGGCGGTTATGATGATTTTAGGGGCGCTTCAATTTATCTGCACGTATCGCTGATCAGGGGGTTGATGGATTGAGTGAGTGAGTTTGCTTTCACGCCGCTTTAAGTAATATTCCAGCAACATCACGGCGGGGGGCACCAAAACTTCACACATTCTACCCATCGAACCCTGGGTCTTCAGCTTGAAATTTATGTTGTGTCCCGCCGTGATTTAGCTGGAATATTGCTAAAAGCGACGGCGTAAAACCATACTCACTCACACACCACTTCAGCATGAAGAGCGGATGCTTAACCATTAGGCTACCCCACCGCTCCTGATGGCTGGAGACATATTATAGCATGTGTGGGTGTAGTATCTAGGCTAGGATGTTGCTGCATATCCAGTACCAACTAACAACTGACACTGACCCGGCTCAAACAGCATGTTTACAAGTTAGTCCGGGAATGGACCTATTTAGCCCAACACACACAATCACAAGTCAGCACACACAAAAGAACCACGGCAACACACATGCATGCACACACACGCGCGCACTCTCTCTCTCTCTCTCACACACACACACACACAATCACACACAATAGAACCACGGCAACACACATGCATGCACAAGCGCGCGCACTCTCTCTCTCTCTCTCTCTCTCTCTCTCTCTCTCACACACACACACACACGACACAGTTACCACACATACTGCAGTTCTCACACATACCACTGTGCCCTCCAACAGATCCCGTCACATCACACCTGCGGCCTCACCTGGGAATCTACCCCATCAATCCATAGTTACATCTTCTTTTGCTTTGCCTCCAGTTGGTACAGAATCACCATGACAGTTATATCACACAGCGCCCGTCCTTCTAATGAACACGTGCACACGTTCATGACAGTTATGAGAAAGACAATCTCGACATCTCGGTGTTACAACGAACTGCTGCAGTTATTTGGTATACATCATTCTATTCCTATTACAAGCGGAGCCGACTGTCATTGGTGATTGAAATATCACATTAAACCAGACACTGTTATCTTTCAAACGTAAGCCCACCTCTCTTAAAGCGTGCTTTAATACTCCTCTTAATCCCAAGTCATTCTACACCATAAAGGGAGGTAACTCTATCGGGATCTGCTAGCGTTCAGCACGTTCCCCCTTCACGTGGGGATGAGGATGAGGTTACAGTTATATGAGGTTATACTGGATTCCCCCGTTATAACGCAGCTGTAACAGGTGTACTTGTGTAATGTAGGCCTGGGTATCAGTCAGGTATTGTCAATATAATTACCCTGTATGACTATGCCTTTTCAATCCTTGTCAGTCAATGCAGAACTGAGGTTTGAGATCCCATTGATTTACAGGCAATAAAAAAACTGTATGAAGGCTTGTAAGGGTTGTAATATTACAACGTATTATTGGAACATCAACTACTGAAGACAATTTGAAAGACAAAATGGTTTACCCTAACAGAGAATTCATCAGAATTATCACGTTCATGAAACGCTAAACTTCTCAACAGAATATACATTGTGTGTAATGCTAACAGTTATTAAAGTAGTAAACCTTTTATTTAAATGTGCATCAAAATATTTACGTATTTAAATACGTATTTTTCACATTCTGAAGGCAAATTGGATCCAACAGTATATTTTTAGCGTTATTTGGGCATAAGATATATTATGCTTTTACAGACAAATGTGCTTAAAATGTTTCTTTTTTGACCATGATAAAACATTAGTAAAACTGTCCTTTCCTGCTCTTTCAGACGTTTGATGAAGATGAAGATTCTTCCGATAACGATCACCTCGATGGTCAAGCACACCTCAATGACGTAGTGAAGATGAAACTGTCGGTGTGTCTTAACGCTGGTCAACACAATCGCTGCGATGATCATGTCACGTGCCCGTGGGTATGTGCGAGCGTACGTGAATGCTGGTTTGTATGTGTAAATACATATATATAATTCATTTCGACATTAGTCTACCAGTAGAAGTGTTTCGTTCAAACAAAGCTTCATTGTCAGGTGCAGATTCTTCCTTCCTGTATCAATTACTGGGGAATGACAGCGATTTAATCTGTCACATCTCTGTGGTTTGGTCTGTTCCTGTTCTTACTCTCCCTGTCTATGATCCCTGGTCTATGATCCTTAGTCTATGATGCCTGGTACATGATCCCTGGTCCATGATCCGTGGTATATGATCCCTGGTCTATAATCACTGGTCCATGATCCCTGGTCTATGATCCCTGGTCCATGATCCCTGGTCCATGAACCCTCGTCTATGATCAGTGATCCATGATTCCTTATCTCTGATCCATTGTCCCTGATCTATGATCCATGATCCTTGGTTTATGATCCATGGTCTATGATCCATGATCCATGGTCTATGATCCCTGGTCCATGAACCCTTGTCTATGATCAGTGATCCATGATCCCTTATCTCTGATCCATTGTCCCTGATCTATGATCCATTATCATTGGTCTATGATCCATGATCCCTGGTCCTGTTGCTGGTTCTCAGTTTTACCTATTCAGTTTCATACTGAGAGTCTGTCGACTACCATGTACTGCAGAACGATTGTGTTACCGCTTCAGCAAAATCCCAGCCCTATCACATCGGGAGACATCTGAAATGACGTCACACATGTAGGGACTTGAACCCTTGACTTCGCTGTGATGAGTGCAAACATAGCCCACTAGGCTACCCCAACCACGCCGAGTCTTTATTTTCCAATCAAGTAATTAAACAAATGGAAATCCACTTTGCAAAGGAATCAGTGTGACATGTGAATGACAGAGTTTAAACCGTACTCAACTATCATATAGGGGTAGCATTATATTTTGACATAAAACACTTTTGGCTGTAGAAACATGATACGACGTTCTAAACGTCATCACTCAACTCATGTTAACATACACGTCATATATCATATTGGATATTTTGCAGGGCTCCAGATAAATTTTCAACATCAGCAGTACGTACTCCTTATTTTTTCAATATAGAAGTACTGGAAAAACTTAAGAGTACATTTAGAGTACTGAATGGACTTTAATTGCGTTTCAGTAATCTATTGTTTCGTTTCATATATGCACCACAACATTGCTAGTCTTGTGTACACATGTCAATAAACAATAAAACAAATACTTTTTTCAGATAAATACGTCTGTAAATGATTCTAAGACCGTACACTATTGCTGTGGTGCGTATCTGCTACGTTTCCTAAATTATTTCCTATCGTATCATGCATATCTTTTAGCCGTACATACGCCGATACGGCCTTTATCTGGAGCCCTGTTTTGTTTAGATTTGTCAATATTCAAGTTTAAAAAAGAAAGTACGGAAAGTAAAAGAATTCTGTGATAACAAATAGCAGCGAAATGTTATGTAATTAACAGTTGCAGTGTACCAGTAACTTGGCTTACAAAATATGTCAGTGACCATACGAAATAGAACGAAGTACATAGTCAGTGACAGCACAATAACAGTGAGTGAGTGAGTTTAGCTTTACGCCACTTTTAGATATTCCAGCAATATCACGGCGGAAATATCACGGCGGGGGACACCAGAAATGGGCTTCACGCATTGTACCCATGTGGGGAATCGAACCCGGATCTTCGGTGTGACGAGCGAACGCTTTAACCACTAGGCTACCCCATCGCCCAACTATAACAGTGACAGTATGCAATGTGAAACTGTGATGGTTACCACTCAGAAAAGTGTAGGCGGTACACCAGGCGTGAATTTATATTCACGATGATGTTATAAAATTTTGTGAAAAAATCAAGGACAATTAAACACGACTGTGAAAATAGATGTAACCGGAACACAACGTGGCATTCTCCTGAGTCACCGTACGACGATACAGCATACAATTCACTTCCTGGTTGGACCGTCCTCGTCTCTCCAGTTTAAGTGGAAGCCTCAATATTCTAAGAGAATAGTGTGCTTAGACAAGGTAATCCGACCCAACATTGTCGACGCTGTTATATTTATATACCACCCAGGGCCCCGTTTCACAAAGCTATCGTAGCGCTATCGCGTAGTCTATCTGTATAGGTGGTACGACAGTCGTAGCGCTACGATAGCTTTGTGAAACGGGGCCCCAATAACTATGTGATGTGTTGGTGAGTGTTGTATGCAAAACAGGAAGGCGTCAATGTACGCCGGTCACATGACCAGAGGGCGGAAGTAACTAAATACCGATAGGAAGCTTCCTCCAGCCTTGATTCTTTTTTAACTCAAAC